CCCCCTGCCTCTGTCCTCCTCTGGCCCAGGGTGCCTGCTCAGCTGAGGGATCTATGGATCCCGTGCCTCTGCCCCATGCCCCCCAGCTGGCGATGGCAGGGGTTTGGCAGGTGGAGGGGACACTGGGGACACAGGAGTTGAGGCAGACAGGTTCCCTGCTGCTGCTGGAGCTGGTTAAACATTGTCCCAGGCGAATTAGGTAACACAAACCACAGTGGGAAAGAAATGAAACTGCTTGAGCAAACAAGGTGCGCTTGGCAGGGCAGCAGGCTGCGTGACAAAGTGCTCCCCTCTCCCTGCCAACCTGCCAGGGTTATCTATTGACGGAGAATAAACACCTCGCCCACAAACCCAGACTCGAGGGACAGCAGCCAGGAGCACAGCCAGCTCCTGTGAGCCCTGGCCTGGCTCTGCACCTGTCCTGCTCGTCATGTCCCCATGATCACCACCAAGCACTGTCCCGGCCCCCTCCCACACATGGCGCTTGCATGGGCAGCCTGAGCATCTCAGCGTTGTCCCTCCTGCTGCTCCTTGCTGCAGCTCTGAGAGGTCAGGGATGGGCCTGGAGCACCCTCCGCTCGCCGGAGCCAGCAGACACCAGCTGGGAAAACCTGTTCCCCGGGGAAGGTTACACAAGGAACGTGACTGAGGTCTGGCTGCAGCCCAGAGCACGGACTGGCTCCTGGTTCACACGCAGGAACTGGGACCTCTTCTTGCACCACACGGCAACCCTGATGACCTCGTCTCAGCGTGTGGGTTCAGGAGCGGTACAACTTCAGCCCAGCTCACTAGAAGGTGAGGGATGGAGGTCTTCCATATGATTTTGTCATCCCCAGGATTTCACATGACTGCAGACCCCCTCTTCTGTCTTGCTGAATTGTAAGGGTGGACATGGCATGACATTGCATGGTATGACCACAGGAGACCAGGCAACCCAGCTGGACCAGCAAGGCAACTCCTCATGTAAACAGCAGTTGAACCCACCCAAAAGGGGTTGGATCTGTCCCATGGATACCTCCTGCCCCTGGCAATGCACATGGACCACCCCCTTGATGCCATCACAGCATCTCCAGGAGGTCCTTTATCTGCCACTGAGCCTACAGCCTGCTGGCAGAGAGATAGGATGACCAGGGCCATGGCCACCAGGAGTTCGAAAGCAAAACAAGGGACTTGAACCATAGAAAACCATAGAACCATAGAAACCTTCAGATTGGAAAAGACCCTTGGGGTCATCATGTCCAACCCATAACCCTACTCGACAGAGCCCACACCCAAACTGTAGCCCCCAGCATCGCATCCAAATGCCCGTGAAATACCTGCAGGGAAGGTGACTCAGCAATCTCCCTGGGCAGCCTGTGCCAGGGCCTGACTACTCTTGCTGTGAACATTTTTTTTCTAATATCCAGCCTAAATCTACCCTATTGCAGCTTGTGGCCAACTTGCATCAAGATCTGTTGTCCCCCCAGCCCCTGGACCCCTCTTTTGTTATCCATGTCCTGGCAAAGCAGGATCCTGGGCATCCCCAGCAGCAGTGAGGATGCTTAAAGCCACCAGCCTCACCCTCAAGATGAGGCCAGGTGGACTTGGGAGACAACATAGATAATCTGTGTAAGACCTTGCTTGAAGGACTTATTTCACTCTCTTTTGTGTTGGGTCACATTCTCGCAAGTGTGGGAAGGGTGATTTTTATCTGTACCACTTCTCCAGCAGTAAGGAAGGGGAGTCAGGGAACAATGACCGGGTCCTCCTGCCAAAAACACATCTCAGGCTTTGCAAGGCACCCTTAGTGCCTAGGGGCGTCCCAAAACCCGCCCTCGCCCCACTGCTGATGGGCTGTCTCCCTTCCTTACTTGCTCCAGGCATTGGCTGAAACCATTCAGAAGGATGTGGTGTTGATTTTGCCAAAACCCAGGACATCGGGACATCCCAGGCCTGGCCAAGCTCCAAGCTTAGAGAAGGAGTCCCAGGGCTATTCCCCTTGAGGGTGAACAGGAGCTGAGCAGTGCTACCCTCTGCACGTCCACAGTCATCAGGGTCCTGCACATCTGCAAGAGGCTGGGGTGGCAACCAGCTCCTCTGGTGCCCAGCAGCATTTAGAAAGACTTAGGAAACGAAGGCAACACACACCAGTCAGGAGCGATGCATGGACCACCACTTGCCAAGCTCATGGCAGGAAAATATCTGAGACCCTCCTTGGCTTCCAACCCCAGGAATTCCATGCAGTGTGCTTGGGCTGCCCCCACTGCCAGGCATTGGCAGCACCCCCTCCTGAAGATGTGGTTCTTGAGAGGCACCCAGGTCCCAGGAGAGGCTCCCAAACAGCCTGACTGGAAGATGAGCAAGTCTTAAACATATTGCAGTGCCTGTGCTGCTTCCTTACATCTCTTGATTCCTCAAAAGAGAGCACTGGCCAGAGAGGGGCTGGAGATCCTCTTGCACCCCATGACCCCCAGTCAGGCCAGGGACCTTAACATGGAGGGAACTGAGAGAGACATCCCACCCCAACCCATGGCAGTCGAGGATCTGGGACCAGGAATTTGCTTCTGGCTTGGAGTGGGTGCTCCAGCAAAGCCCTCCTGCAAAGGCAAGTGCCAGGACTGAAGTTCTGGAGGGTCCTCAGAAGGACCAAGGATTGGGAGCAGGTGCAGAATGCTTCTGCATGGCCAGCTTTGAGACAGGGCTCAGATGTCACTCCCACCAGCCCAGGGACAAGCCAAACACGCCTGAGCCAGAATCACCAGGCAGGTCCAGGTCACAGCAGGCAGGAGGGATGGTGGTTCATACAATGGGACGTCCCAGGTAACACGAGTCTGGTCCCCACCATTCATTTAACAAAAGCAAGCAAAATGACAGATGGGTACAAAAAACCCAACCAAACAACAATTTATTCCTCTTATGTTCCCATTTAAAAAGGACAAAGCCACAGGCACCTGTTGGGTTCCTGGCTGAGCTGTCACCTCTTGCAGTGACACAGAGCCAGCCTGTGCCACGGGGACATCGCCTCAGTCCAGCTGAGCACCACCACTCGCCACAAGACTCCTGCATGCCCTACAGTGCACACTCACACAGGAACATCTTGCTCGTGAAAAAATATATCTGTACATTCATTCTGTGCTTTTTTTTTGGTCTTACATAAATTAGAAGCTACTTTTACGGAAAAGGCCTATTTCAAGGCAGCCAGGCTGGAAATGCAAAGTGGCCCTGCTGTCCCCAGTCCTCTCCCCGCCGAGGGCTCTCCAAGGCCAGGTGAAGGTCCACAACGTTCCCATCTTCCCTCAGCAGTTGCCACACCGAGAAGCTGCTGCACAGGACGGGCTTCACCCATCCCACGTGGAGCAAACAGGATGGTGGATGCCTTCAGCACGGCACAAACAGGACCCCGTAGCTGGGACAAGGCCTGTCCGATCATGGGTGGGACGGTGGTGCTGCCCCTCTGCCCACCCAGGAGGTGGGTGACAGCAGGAGACCCTGTAGTGACACTGCAGTGTCCCTGCGGTGACAGCTACCACTAAAACTTCTCTTCCCCTCTGCGTTTGTCCAGGCTTTGAACAATCAAAGTCACTGTGGCTCCAGTTGGAGGTACGAATCCAACGAGGGAAATAACGGTTTACAATAACCTACTGGAGCCCAAGTATTAGCTTTAAACACCTCAGTGTCCGTGCAAGGGTTGGAGTTTCACGCACTGCACGAGGCAGCAGCTTCCAGGCGCAGCTGCAGGCGAAGGTTCCTGCCAAGGAGCCCAGCTCGGGGCTGGCCCCAAGGGGCTTGTCAGGCCCCGGCTCCTACAGCTCCTTGTTCCTGTTGAGCCCCTCCTCCTCCTTCCAGCCGCTGGAGTTCTTCCCAAACTTGTACACCAGCCGTCGCCCATCGACTCTCTCCAGGATCTCTCGTTTGTAATAATATCTGGAGGGGATGGGGTGGAATCAGGGGTCTGGGTACAGCCCTGCATGCTGGGGAGTCCAGGTCAAGCCTGGTGGGTCTGGCCCAACCAGGTGGGGCAGGTTCCCTCTCCTGGGGATGAGGGAGGGCACTCACCGCATGGCTCGGCTCAGCTTCTCGTAGGTCATGCTGCTATTCTTCTTCTTCTGGCCCCAGAGCTGAGCCACCGCCTCCGAGCGCAAGAACTTGAAGACGCCCTCCCGTCGGTCCTCCCACTTCATCAGCCCCTCGTTCAGCTCCGGGTGGATCAGGATGTCCCGGATGAACTCCCACAGGTGGGTGCCTCTTGGGGCTAGAAGAGGAGAGCAAGCTGTGTACCAGGTCCCTGCACTTCGGATCTCCCTAAACCTCCCTGCCAAGGGGCATGGCCCTTCCTCCCATCTTCCCCCCACGGAGCCAAGCTGCCGGAGGCAGGTCCCACTCCCACGCTCCCCCATGAGGGGTCCACATACAGTGCTTGCTCTTCCGGCTCTCCAGGCAGTCTCTGCTTTCTTTGCTGAGTTTTCTGGGCCGTCCCCGTTTCCGCTTCCCATGTTTGCTGTCCCCTTTCTTGGTCCCTGCAAAGCCACCTGTGCACACAGAGAAGGGGACACGTTACACCACACGGAGCCTGCTGGGTTGAAGCTCCCCCCTCCCTGGGCACAGAGATGTCCTCCTCAGGAGCATAAGGAAGAGAGGGTTGGAGCAGGGAGGAGAGATCAGGGGCTGCACTCTTTTTTCAGGCCCAGATCCCAGGGAAACATCCCTCTGAGAGCAAGATCTCCAGATTCCCTCCAGTCTCATCCCACTAGGCTCACGGCAGCACGCTGTTCCTTCTCTGAACCTTGTTGCTTCCTTGCATCCCCAATGTCCCCAGCGTCATTGCCAGCTGGTATCAACACAGCTTTCCATGCCCAGGACTTCTGGGTGCAGTCCTCACCCAGCTGCCACAACCCACCCCTTTGCACCAAGGTCACTGCTGCCCTGCCTACCCAGCTCTGCCCCAGAGCCTGTCCCATCACCCCACTAAACAGAGAGAAACAGACCCACGAGCACAGAAAACCAGTCCCCTCTCTCCTTCCCGGTGTGAGGATGTCTATTCAGGGCTTGTCCCTAAATCTTTGCCAGATGGGATGTGCGAGCCCTCCCCTCCCAGCTCCTGGTGGCAAGCAAACAACTCACCGTCAGGGAAGAGCTTTGCTTCCGTGGGGTCGAGGTCAAGGTCACTTCCACCGGAGTCTTGGGAGTTGGGGCTGTGGGACATCACAGGCCCTGAGATGCAAAGGGACAGGGCTCAGACCACCAGCTGCTGACATCTGGAGATGCCTCCTCTGGGTTCCTCTCAGGCCCCAGCAACCATATGCCAGACCCAAACCCACCCTCAGCACCGGGGCAATTCCCCACAGACCTCCAAGACTGGTGCAAGCAAAATTTTCACAGGGCAAAACACTCACCTGAGATGTCGGAGCTGCCTGGGGACATGGCACCAGGCAAGCAGGCGAAGTCTGTGGATAGGAAAGGGTTTGTGGGCTTCAAGTCCTCCAGGGAGTCCTTGGCACAGGGATCTCCCAGCTCTGGAAGGGGCAGGGAAGGGAAGAAGGGGTTAGTCCCCCAGGCATCAGCACCTCATCCATGGGGAAAAGGTTTAGCTGAGGCCCTGCTCTCACCCAGGTGGCCAGAGTCCAGGAAGGTCTCTTGGGAAGTTGCATCCTCTTTTTCCAGCAAGTCAATGATCCAGTTCAGCTCATCAGAGGCTGCAGTGGGGGGAGACTGGGATTAGTGATGCCTGTTCGTTATGGAGGGGAATGGTACAAACTGGGAACTGAGCTCAGCCCTGCCTGGACTCTGGTTCGCGCCTCCACATCTTCCTGTGCAGCCTCCCCAGGGCAGCCCTGGGGGCACAGGGCCCTGGGCTGGTGGGGGGTCTCAGCCTCATGATTTGAGCTGCCAAGCTTGGGGATGAAGGGCACATCGGGACACTCACTGATCTCATGCAGGCGGTCGTAGAGCTCGTCCCCCAGGGGCCCAAAGATGAGGCGCATCTGGTCCCTGGTGCAGTGGCAGAGCGCGTGCCCGTCCATGTTGCAGCAGGAGAAGTCGATGGAGCTGGCATCGTACTTGTTCTTCTCCACGTGGTAGCTGATCCACTCCAGCACCTGCACCTTGGTCCAGAAGTACGGGAGCTCACTGAACCACTCCGGCTTGTCTGCAAGGGATGGAGAGCGGGTCTCAGGGGCAGGGTGGTGCCACCCGGCCGGGCACTTCGTCTGGTCCCGTGGCCATCACGGGCACAGTGGGCCCTGCGCTTGGAGTGTCACAGGACTAAAGGTGCTCAGTGCCCTGCTCCCGAGAACCCGTCTGGCCCTGCCCTGCTCCCACCCTGAGGACAGCAGAAACCTGACAGTCCCCCACTTCCTTCAGGCTGGTTTCGGTGCTGTTTGTCGCCTCCCTGCTGGGATCCCCCCTGCTCTTCCGTGCCTCCCCCAGGGCCACTGGTGCAGTGGGACCCTCCGGCTCCAGGTCTGTACTCCCCAACTACTCTCCTGGTGAGCCGCAGCAGCCTGTCCCCTGGGATGTGCTGGGGGAGGAGGGCAGTAATCCCTCATCCGTCGCACATCTGATGCGCTCCAAGCAGCTGCACCTTGTGCCGCCCAGC